CGGGGCGGCGGGCCACCGCGGAGGAAATGAGTCGGCCTACTCGGTATGCGCGCATTCACGCGGATGTGACGACACTGTCGTCGCCGTCGCCGCATAACGTGGGTGGGACGGCGGCGGAGGAGCCAGGCCGGACGGAGGAGATGTGTCTGGCACCGTGCCCACATGCGCGAAAAGACGCTTCGACAGGTAATTGCTTCGGATGAAGTTGCGGAGCGAATACTAATTAAGGAAGTTCCAATGCCATGACATATGCCTGAGGTTAGTGTCACTAAGATGAATGTAAAGTGATATGCGGATGTTACCCGACGGCATTTGACGATTGTTAGTTTCTCAAATCAAGTGCTCTCTTCCCACTTTTCATAGATCAATTTTGGTGCAAAGAACCACATAAACTACAAAAGCAAACTAATCAATCAACACTTAAACTATTAAAAGAGTTCGTTCTACACTTTTTCGAAGTCCAAGACGTTATGTCAATGCAAATGTATTAAAACCCAGAACGAAGGGTCGAAGAACTATTTTTATCGTCTTGTCTTCATTTTGTACTACTTAAAGGGTTTCAAGGGCATAAAAGGTCATTTCACGCTACCTAAAAAAAGTTATAGAACCCTAGAACATAAAACACGAAAAGAAACGACTCTTAAGTTCTATAAAACAATGGCAGTACCAGTACTGTTATATGGATGCGAGACCAGGCCCTCTCGAAAAGAGAAGTTCTCGTGAGAGCCGCAGAAATGAGATTTTTTGAGCTGTAAAAGTGTGTACTCTAGATGATAAAATTAGAAGTGACGAAATACGTAAAGAGATATTTCGTCTCGATAAGAAGATCAGTAACACTAAAATGAACTGGCGCAGCTATCTGGACAGATTAAGCAGAAGCCGAATTTCTCGACTGGCAAGGGACTACAAACCAGCTGGCGAAAGGAGCATCAGTCGTCCGAGAAGATGGTTTCCGGAACAGGCAGTCGTGCCTAATCCATGAAATGAAGAAGAAGAAATATATTTTTATACTTCAGTTTTGTTTGGGGGGGGGGGATATAAATTAGTCTACAACTGTAATGTGTTAAATAAGGTGGTGACGACAGACGACATGGCAAATCATTTTATGAAAATATAATTGCAATTCACCTTCGCCTCATTAAGAGATATTGTCTGAATTCTAGAAAACCGGCCCTTCTAGGTTGTTAGTCTAAATAACGTTTTGTAATTCCTTTTGCTAAGCGTCTACTGATTCGCTCGCGTCCGGATGCCGTGCCTTGCAGGCGGTTATGCAGCGTCGTTCCGGCCTCATTCGCACGAATAAATGATAACTCAGCAGTCACTGGAAAGAAACGGTTCTGAAGAACCGCAAGATTGAAAACAAGAATGAAATGACACCATTCTGCACGCAAGGCGCAGATTATTATAATTTTATGTCAAAAGACTGAAATACTGTTATATGGATAATGGAATTAACGCAATACATCAATGGCAATTTGAGGTAAGCTACATTACTGGAGTTAATAAAAACATCGAAGCAATTTTCACAAATGAATGTATTTCGAACGTGACTTTGCATGGATTCTGACAAAGAATTCAACCAACCTTAACGACGTATGCCTTCAAGGGTTTTTTCCCCCTTCAGCGAAACAAAAAACAAATACTTCAGGGGAAACATAATCCTACTTTACTTGCAATGTTTTAGTCCAGGCGTCTCGTTGCAAAGACCCTCCACCCGCCCCGGACTTCACCGCCCGCGCGACCGCCGTCGCCGCTTTTTCCTCGCGTCGCCACTCTGCCTCGCCGCCGGCGTCGCGACGCTCCGGGTGCGCGATCGCGCCGGGTGGCATCGCACGCGGCGGCGGAGAAAGCGGGGGAGGAGGAGGGGGCGGAAAGTGAAAGGAGCGCGCGAAAATCAGCGAACCAGAGCCCTCCCGGCCAACGGCGCGAGCACGCGGGCGCGCGGGGCGGCCGAAAGGACGCTGAGGCGGGGGAGGGCGCCGCGGCCGTCGCACTTATTTTGTCCGATTTTCTTTAGAATGGGATGATTTGACAGCTAGTGCTAGCAACACAACTGACGATTCTGTGGTCGTTGTGTCCTAGAACTTATTAAACGCTCCTTCCTCCATTCGTTCGTTTGCAGTTGGCTAACTTGTAAATAGTTACGACGCTCCCTGCTGTGATGTCCTCGTCGGACGAAAATATAGTGGACCACGAGAAATAATTAAAAGTAGGAAGTGCAGAGCGTTGTGCTCTTCTGTAAATATGCTTTCTAAAAATTACATTGAATTAAGTTTATATGTGATAAGTATAATGTTTGTTTTAAAATCGAGTATTGAATGTGAGATGCGTACTCGTGACGGTGCACGTAAGGCAGTCGTACAGCGAAGGGGCGTAACTAAACAGCTGACGCGGCGGAGGGATACTTCTCTGAAGTAGAGCTGCTGTTCACTTGTTGCGCGAACTGTCAATTTACCCCATTCTTAAGAAAATCGTTCTATAACAAGGTGGATGGGGATAAGAACGTCAGTCCGTGGGTGCCGCGTGCACCACTAGAGCGCGTAGCAACTAGAATCTCTAGATACACCTCTATGTATCTCAGGACTTTATTAGCTACGCGATTCGGCGAGAAAACGCATTGTATCTCACATAGACAAGTCACACAACAACAAAATGGGCGATTTTGAGTTAACAGTACCATTAAATACAGCAAGTTAACATTATCAATATAGAATTAGTCAAATTAGTTGAACAAACTAATTACATAGGATACACCGAACATCACAGTATTAGACTAGTGTGACAATAGTCACGTTATAGATCTATTTTTTAGTTGTACAGAAAAGCGTGCGTTGTTAGTTGCGCCAGTTTTCTATATAATATGAGGTTTGCCAACAGACAGCTCCAACAATTCCCTTCAATGCATGGGTTCTACAACAATGAGCGCACGTGAGCTGCAGCAAAATTAATTCGGGACGTTAATGGGTTACCAAGGTGGATGAGGCCAGGACAAAATGGGTGCACTTTGTAGGGCGTACGTGCCGCATCGAGAGAGTGCAGATTGGTAAATTAGGAACGGCGTAACAACTCAGCGATGAAAGCTGCAAATATATTCTGTCCGCCAGCACCAACCCCTGCGTGCACGGGCCCAACAAGAATGAGCGTAAGCGACCTGCGTGAAAATAAATACAGGCCCACAATGAGCGCTTCGTTTGCTACAAGAAGCAAGGGTCGGAAGGCGGAGTTTGTTATTTTGTCATTGCTAATGCGTTTCCGTTATCTCGAGAGCGAAAATTTCTAGTTTTCAAATCTTGCTAACCAGGGTTCGTTAGTGCATTTATTCATAATTCAGATACGTATAGTAAAAGGGTAGTATATGAATTCTGGATATAAAAAAACTTCTCAGATTGTACGTCTTATACAGTTGGCAACAAATATTTTTTAAAGTAATTCGGGCGTTAATGTGTTCATAAGTTGGATGTGATGAGGGGGTTGCCGCGCGACGCCTCATAAAGAATCGCGAGGGCGAAAATCACTGCGGAACGCCGCGCCGGGAAAGTGCGCGGATCAAGGGATGTTTTCGTAGGGAATCAATCGATAGCTGAGAGTAGGATATACTACGTATTACGTTACGCGAATAATTGCATTATACTCGCAGGTACAGTCTGTACTTGGGTGAAACCCATCGCACCATTGAGCTGATCTGTAAGTTGAGTCGGGATTGCTAAGACTGAGACTTGTGTTTTGTAGGTTCTTTTCTTCTCCACGGAAAGTATAATTAATATCTAGTTTGTAATGTAAGATAAAATGCGTCCAAGCAGTTAACAACCAGGAAACTAATATTTACACATACAAATAACAAAAAACGAGAAACTGTCATTTGTATTATTACATTTGAACAGAAAGGTAATACATTAAAACAAAAGGTCAGGGGGAAAGAGAAAAGAAGTGAGCTCATCTTTTCCTTCCTTTCTATACTTCCTTTACAAAATAAATTACTGGAAACATGATAATTCACAAGAGATATACCAACTTCAGATCATTCAATTCCGCATGATAATTCCTTAAGTCTTCCTCACAGTCCACCGCGAAGAGGAAGGAAAGGCTCAGCGGAAAGGACATTTCAGCCTCGTACGTCCACAGTTGAGAATTTCCCGGCGACCCTGCCCAGCTCCTAATGCGGCGGCGCGGCGGCACCAGGCGTCGCCAGCGCGTCTGGCGCGCCTTCCGGTCGTCTCCCCCGCGGACGTCCGGCGACAGTCGGCTGACGCGTAGCGCGCAGATTGCAACGAGCGCAGCCGCGGACGGGGAGGCGGGCTGCGTCCGCGCAGGCGACGCGCAGCCTCATGAAACGCGCGCTGGAAAACAGTACCTCTGCGTGTCTGTTGTTGCATCGCAATAAAAAAGGAATTAAGTTGGCGAAAACATGTTCATCTTATTGCTGGCTTTTGAATATTGTCTTATAAACTCTTGGTTCAGACGAATATCAATGTTGTACAACAGACAACACGGAAAAATAGTTTACCATCGAAAAATAAGTAAAATAATAATAATAATAATAATAATAATAATAATAATAATATAAATGCATACAACATTTTCACAAAGAAGATGCAAGAAACTGGCTTGAATTCTCAATTACCTTCCACTTACAAATCATGATCACCACTTTTAGGAGAGCGAGCAGGTTTTCGATACAACGTTGACAATCTTATCTTCTGTTCTCTCACACAATGTGGTGTCGTCATTTATTCCACAACTTCACATCTAATCCAACAAACCGGTATCATGTTCTCACATACACAAACACACACATGCACACACAGCACCTCACCTTTGCCGACGCCGTTCCAGCCCGCTACTGAACGCACGGGAGCACACGGCAGCACGCGCACGAAGTCTGAGAAGCGCTGCCTCCACTGCCTAGTCCCTGCGTCTATTCATCTCCGTGTATCTCCGAGCTGCCACCACCGCCCGGAGCTCATAACAACCCCTCCCTTCCCTTCCGGCCGTTTCCTCCGCAACCGTTCAGCCCCCGAATCTTCCTCCTGTGTCTCCCGCCCACGACGCCCCCGAGGCTACT